AAGAAAAAGGCAAGGCATCTTCCAAGAGTACAGACAAGATCCCCAAAACCCTCAATGATTCAATCATCAGAGATCAGCTCAGCAAACACAATCTCAATTAAGAGGCCATTCAAACGACCAAGCAAGGAACCTGGGAAAGTCAAGGTTGCATCACTTGTTCCAGGAGATTTCATTTGCAGAGAAAAGGCCATGCAACTCTATAGATATCTAATGAGCCGACAAGGACAGAGAGAATGCACAAGGTAAGCAGATTCTCCTAGTTCCATGGAAACAACTACACAGAGCTACAGATTCTCTAACATCCAACTAACAATTCACTCACCTACTTCCAAACCCTCCTTGCAGACAAGTGCTATATAAATATAAAAGCTCAAACTGAGAAGACTACATTTCAGCAAAATCCTTCATGGAACAAGCAGGAAAAGGAGAAACACAGATGGAGGGCTCCATGCTAAACGCATTACTGGAGGAATGGGCAGAACAAGAAGAGTTCAACCCAGACGACACAACTATACTCCCTGCAGGTTTCGCAAATGTATGCATACCTCACCCACAAAAAAACCACCGCCATTACTACAATAGAATATTTAACTAAAACCACACACTCTCTTTCTTGAAGCTGGTGCTCGGTCTCAATTATGATAACGGAGAGCTATCAGAATTCAACGAGGACGAAGCACTAAAAGGATTTGAACTCCTTGTGGGAGGTAAAGACATCCTCCATTCGAAGATGGTAAGCTCAGTATTATTACTTAGCACATGACCTATTCTCTTTGGGATTTCAACGATAAAATGAAATTCAATTTTTACATCAACAATGATCTCTGCTCTCAACGTAGATCATGATACCTCACCACATAAACAAACACTATACGCTCTATGTTGTGAACAAGTTCAGAGATAGCATCGACATCCTTGACTCATTGAACTACGTAAACTACGCCGATTTGTCTTGGAGTCAACACCACGAGCATCGAGAAGAACTGGTACGTACTTTGTGTACATTTATTTCCTCTTTTCCTCATGATAGTATGATACTCTTACTTTCCTCAATGCCGCACCCAAACAACAAAACCATAATGCAATAACAGATGAGAAGGATGTCTGTGCTGATGAACAAGCACCACGAACTAAAACACAAGAACGGACCAGACTGGGAAAGGATAGCAGAAAGGCCTCACAGGGTCTGCACACCAAAGCAAGAAGTAACACAATGCGGTCACTTCACGGCCCAATTTGCGAAATACTATAATGGGAAAGAACTAGTCAAGGACAGAGAGGATTTTCATGTAAGTTACCACTGCATACACGTCAAATAACTAGATTTCTTTATTACCGTAATTAGTTTATTAACAATTGTGAACAACACGTAACTATAAACCATACATTTTCACATGCCTGCAGCCCAGCAAGGTTGATGTCGAATGGAAACCGGAGTACGTATACACACTCATATTCGATAAAACCAACCAAATAAAGGACCATCAACTTCCTGGAAAACTCAAAGATTACGAACCAGAGACTGCAAACCTTTTTTCACCCATGAAAGATAATATAACTATTTTCCTTTTTACCATCAGTCATCATTACTAGAGCTTCAAATATTTCTTTTAGAAACAACAGCCATAATTATTAATTTTTGTTTTGACAGAGCGAGACGTAAAAAACCAGCATCAGTCAGAGAGCAGCAAGAAATACCCGCAACACCAGCATTCGTTTCTACACGTGGATAAGGCAAATGAGCTCTACAACATAGTCATGAGTGACACATGGCAGGATGAATTCAAAAGGTAACTGCAAAGAACCTTAAATTCCTGTTTATCAAAAGGAAGTACTTGGTTAATGACTTTCTCAACAAAAATTTCTTCTACAACCCTGAATGTAAGCAGAAAAGTATTCTCGAGAGATCAACCAAAGACAACTTTTACTGGATCAAAGCTAAAGGAAATATTTGAGCCTGCAAACAAGAAAAATCTTCAAGGAAAGGAAAAGAAGGTGCTCGATGAGTTAGCAGAAGCATGGGAAAGCAGCAACCAGACTATACACAAAAGACATAGACTATTATTAGGCCCAAGCTTTGCGGAGGTAAATTTCAAAAAAAATCACAGTGATCATATAAACTCATCTTTTTCGAACTATTGTTTAATCTCTTGGTACCAATCTATTTTTTCTAACTCGTTTTTTATTTGTTGCCTGCAGCATATTCTGGGTTTAAAGGATAAAAGAAAATCTATGAAGGACTTCAGAGTTGATTTCACACGAGAAAAGGATGCCTTGGTTCCTTTGTTCCTTAAGAAATGTCAATCAGAGAAGCTCAAAACAGCAAAAATGGTAATAGCATTTTCCATACAACAAAATAAAAATAAGCATTTCAAAACAGAATATTATATTCTAAACTCTCCGCTAACAATAAAACTTTTGTACAACAGGTATTCAAGCCATTTGAAAAGGAAGATCGATACACACTATTGGTGCTCGACAGATATAAAAGGAAGCTTCAAATCATCGAACCTGAAGAAACCTCTCTTGAAGAATTGAGAAGTCAAGAATACCTGAAAAATCAACATGATCGACACATGCATGATGGCAAACTAATGAAGCAGATTGCTATCATGGAAAACAATGAAGCCATCAAAGAAAAGGACCATCACAAATACCACAACCATAAAGACAAAGTGGTAAGAATTGTAAATAACGCCATTTTTCAGTTTTACAAATTACACTACATGTATCTCTAAAAACAAAAACAAAATGCAATTCACAGGTTCCCAGGTTTAAAGAAGTATACGAAATATTACTGGGTGAAAAATTCGAAAAGGAAAATACAAGATGGGGTGTTGAAGTTTTACAGGGCGTTCCAAAGGTGAACAAAGGTGAAACCCCGTTTGCTATTCTAAGGTTCGCGCATCTCTTTGATGGCAACCACTTCATCGAAGAGATTGATAATTTCGACGTAAGTTTTCGCTTAAAACTCGCAATAAATCTTCTAGGTATCATACAACTGCATGACCTAATATTGATGTGTTTTTTCTCCTTTTTTCACTGACCTTTTTATAGGATGGCACGGAATAATGGAAAGCACAACAACTGTGCAAGCTAGTATTTAGCGATCAGAATACAATCGAACCTAGCGAAATGGGCGATGAGATTAGAAAGATCTATGACGAAATCATGCAATAAAAAGTTGTTGATAAGCGAACGAGCCTAGCTCCATCGAAACACCAGAAGACGGTTTAACCGCACATCGTACTGTAATAATGAAGCAACAGACTATTTTTATTGATGTATTTCCTTGATTCCTCAGTAACCAAGCATTCGAACACAAGCCGGTGCCCATGCCCCAACTATCAATCCAGGTGGTTGATGACCATGCCCCATAAACCACCCAAGTCCGTCCCTAGACATACGTGCATCAAGTCGACACGCCATGACTCTACATACTACTCACGCGTGACCACCGGTGACTTTGATGCTTCACAAACATTCCCCCTTTCTGAAACCGTGTGCTGCCGAACGCCACCAACCTACAGAATGAGTCTGGCGTGAGTACAAACATGACTCTCTAAATGAGTATTCAAACAAATGCATGTGGTCCCACCGACTCGCGCCGTTAGAGACCTCACACATGTGCATCCAGAATGGTGCCTTCCTACCTCAGTATTAGCAAGCAAGCCTCTCCGACCACACCACCATGCATCCAGAGGGTTAAGAGCCAGTAATGCCTCTCAAAGGCCCACACCACTCCATGCCCGTGATGCCAGACACACGTGACTCTCTAGAGGCTTCACAACCGTGACTCCCTAAATTCGTATTCGGAAGCATGCCTCTGGTATCACACTTTTGAATTTTCGCAACAACAAAAACCCCACTTCCGTGCCTCTTGGGTCTTCACCTCCGTGCCTTCCGTAACTGCATCTACATGCCTAATGTGTCACGCCACGAGACTCTTACATGGTCACGGTACCACGCCCATGTCTCTTCACAAACGTCAGAACAGTGCATCTCTAACCGAGCATTCCAACACATGCCTCTCAGACCACACTATTGTGCACCCACAACGTTGATACCCGTGCATCGAGAAGTCGCAATCCCGTGCCTTGTGTACCTGGATCCAGGTGCCTCTCTCACATGACACTTGCCATGACTCTTACATGCCCCATGACGTCGCACAACCTTGACTCACTTCCAAATCGTGACCCTGTAACTATGTATTAGGAGCTCAACTCTGCTACCCCGTCCACGTGCCTTCGGCCCCTGTAGTAACACACGCCGGTGACTCTAAAGACTGCAAACCTGTGCCTCTCTAACTACGTATTCCGGCCCATACCAATCCTGCCACTCCTCTAGAAGACGCGCTTGTGTGGACAACTAAAGTGTATTCAGCGCAAAAAGACTGCTTTGCATTTTGTTGTTTTTAGAGTAAAAAGCAACATTACTTCTTCAAAATCACATGATTGCTGAATAAACACGGTACTTAGCAAGCTAAATAACTTGCTCAATCACATAAACCAACTACAACTTGACATAAGGAAACTTGTTTAACCTGATACATATGACATTACAAACTCCTTCGTTCTAACAGAAGTAAACTACGAACCTGATACAATAGAAATGACAAGCATAAACACAAGCAACTCCACCACCAGTTTTCTATGTTTTCATCGTCACTAGTATACGTAGTAAGGATCGTCATAATTCTTCTCTGCCTCTTTTGCACTCTCTAGACCTTCTCTGATGTTTTCAATTCTCTTCCACGACTCGTAGGTTGCGTACGCATCTATCGCTGCATACTCAATGAGGTAATTTGGAAGTGGGCTGATCCCCCACAGTTTATGGTCTTCAACTCTATCAATCTTATCCTTCATCTGTTTGTAGAATGGGTGGATCACGCTACCTACAACATCAGCCAAAGAGTGGTACCTCTTTCTTCCCTTGAAAGGAACTCTCCATTTGCGCTGGATGTTGACGTACTTGTCGGGGTTGATCTCCAAACCAGAACTTCACAGCATCTCTTTGTCACCTTCAATACTGAAGCCGGCAAAGGTGTAGAACCTGTCCTCCTTCAGGAACGGGCGTGGGCTCTTGGGCCTGCAGGGGGGATGGCACATTTAAGGTCGATTCATCAAGTATCGATCAAGTACATGCTTATATAGTACGTATAATTCATGGATGAAAACATTTCAGAAACTGCTACGCAAAGTTCAGAAATAAAATACAAGCACAGCATGTTATTTTTATTTTTTGGAATTTACACTTGAACCAATTACCTATCCACTTGTTAGCCACGTTAACACATCAATTCAAGAAACTGAACTACACTAGAACATGAAATATAGAAAATACACTAGAACAGAAAGTACGCTAGAACATCGAGTTCAGAAAATAATCTCGTACATCAAACCCATAAATTAATCTAGTGCATGAAATACATGAACTGATCTGGTGAGTCAAGTTCAAAATCTATTGTGCTGCATCTACTTCAGAAAATTCACTGATACATCAACTCAATAAACCAATCTAATCAAATTTCCGGGTGAAAAGATAATTAAACAGAAGCACGGAGAGGTTGAAACTGTAGGATGGTTCACCATTTTGTTGCCGCGGTGATGTGATATACCAAACAAAGTTCCTCCACGCATAACTGTAGAACCGCTGCCCTCTGCAGAGGTTGGTCCTCCCTGGTATACTCGACATCAACGCCGATGTAGTGAGGGTACAAGCCGCAGAGCCTCTTCAGGATCCTGCTGATCATCTTGTCGGCTTCCTCAGGATTGCTCGTGCATACGACAGCCAGCTTTTCCTTGTCGTGGATGTCAACCTCCTTGAGGTGCACTTTGTAGTCGTGCTTCTGACCGGGGACCTGAACGTCGTCGACCTTCATGCTCTGGTCGGACGTCTCACCACGGGGACGATTGGCAGATGGTTCCTCCGCCATTACGCTCCTCCAGTGATGGCCGCCTTCACACAGAGATTGTGAGGAGATGCTAGTTGAGATGGAACGGCAATAGTGTTTTTAGAATTGAGCGGCTATGGAATCGCAGTTACCCTTTACCAAGGTCTGGGTCGTGGAGGAGGCAGTTGGACGCGGCCTCGTCATGGTAGAGAGGGCGGAAGACACGCGCTCGTCGTTGCTGTGCGTCGAGGCAACCGCCGAGTGACAATGCTCGCGGTTGGCGGGAAAAAGCAACCGTCAAATCATCCGATTAAGCACGTAACAAATGTTATTGCTCGCACCTTTCCCGGCGCACGCCGCTACTACCACACGACCAATGTTGCACAGACTTCACACATGTGGACCCACAACCCATACTCTCTGAGTATTATTCGCACCGATGCCTCTAGTACCAAACTTCCCGACGCATCACTCTCACGTGCCCGTGGCGACACACGCTCGTAACTCTAAAGACTTCACAACCGTGACTCTCTGAGTAAGTCTTCAGATGCATGCCCCTGCCATCACATATTTGTGCATCCACAGAGTTGATACCAGTGCCTCTAAAATTCCAACGTCAGTGCCTATAGAGCCTGATGTTCCTTGCCTCACACGTCTACTAAGATGCTATAGCGAAAAAAAACCAAGCGACACGAATCTTGATACTAAAATCAGATCGTCGAAGATTACATACGGTTCCATCATTTCCATTTATCCCACCTCCACTACTCTCTTCCTTCCTCTCTTCCACAGCAAAATCTCAAAACATTCCACACTCACACAAGATCTCCTCATAGGTTCATTACACCAAATTCTAAGAAGAGTTCCTGTCGTGGTTTTGTCACGGCAGATGTCCTAGAGAAAGGACTTAGTCGTGGAGCCATCGCGACGGGTTAGCTTGAAGGGGTTAAAGCGGACACAGGGACGCAAGAGAGTTTATACTAGTTCGGCCCCTTCAATGAAGGTAAAAGCCTACGTCTAGTTGTGATGGAATTGATGGGGTTTCGATGACTAGGGAGAAAACAAGCTTTGCCTATGTCTCGAGTTGTTGTCTATCTCTGAACCGCCGCCGGGTCGTCCCCTTATATACACGGGTGACACCCGTCGGTTCACAGAGTCCCAACACCGGTCGATATTCGTATTCTGGGTTAGTCTCTCCTTATTCCTAACTTACAATACAAGTTTATATACATATCCCGGTTTACAGCTACAAGTCTTGAACCGGCTACGGGCCTTAGGCCCTCATCTGCCTTCTTGGGCTTTAGCACTCTTGAACTACTGATGAAGTTGACCCGGCCCAGTTAGGCCGGTTTACGCCCAGCAGTAATATCCCCAATATTAGGCCCCAGATTGATTTGAACGGGTTCATGTCAATCCTTTAACAAAAGCTTCATCTTCAACATCTTCTCATAAATTGGTAAACCGCCATGATGTCATCTTCCCTGATTGCTGTAAACCGGAGTGACGTCACCTGTCATAACGAAGCTATCCATTTATGCTTCTTTGTTTAATAGATCTGCGGAAATCGAGGCGACAGCTCCGTTTCGTGGTCCCTTGATTGTCGCGCCTGACAAATGTTCTTTCGCCCTATAAATAGGACTGAAGGGTCATTTCTTTTCTCACCTTCGTGACTTTCTTCTTCATCTTCCTCGTGTCGCCAGCCTTGGAGCTCTGCCGCCGCCATCGACCTCTGCCACAACCTTGGCTGCTGCATCAACCTGGGCGCACCAGAGCATCGCGGCAACCTTCCACGTCTTCCTCATCTCTGGTAAATCTTCTATCCTTTCCCTCGCAGATCTGACCTAGGGTTTCACAGTTCTTCAGTGTTCATCGTCTGCCTCTTGCTCATACGATAGATCTTTAGATGAATCCGCAAATCTTTATTCTGTGCAATGGTAGCTGTTTACCCTTTGCCTTCACTTACACATCTCAAAACCATAAATCTGTATGTACGTCTTGCTCATTGATTCGGTACTGCTCCTTTTGGACCTTTGAATATTTATCTTTTTTCTGAACTTGCTTTAGATCCATCGCTGTAGAGAAATCTTATGAAATATGTTTCTATAAACTTACTCATCTGCTTCAATGTTTAAACCGGGCGGTTTAACCTTCTAGAAAAAATTGCCAAACCGGTATATACCATTAGTCCCCTTGTTGAACTGCCAGATGTTGTTGCTTCATAAAACTCGGGTTCAGATAGATTTGTCTCCGGTTTAACATTGCACATACCAATGTACCTTGATCAAATGCATTTTTGAACCGGGATCTTCTACCTTGTAGATTTCATCATGGCCAAGCAAGTATATGAGTGCAATTGGGTTCCTTCTCGCATCACAGAGGCTCAGCTGGACGATCTAGTCCTGATCGGCGCTTTAGGCAGCAAAGATACCATCCATTGGAGGGCTCCTGGCAAAGAATGCCCTCCCACTCCTCAAGAAGGAGAGGTTGTTGTTTTCGTAGATCACTTAGCTCGGGGCTTTAAGCCGCCCGGTTCTAAATTTTACCGGGATGTTTTGGCCGATTTCCAACTCCATCCACAAGACACTGGCCCCAATTCTATTACAAATATGTGTCACTTCCAAGTGCTCTGTGAGGCATTCTTTCAAGAGGAGCCCACAGTGGAATTGTTCAGAGACCTTTTCCATCTAAACCGCCGTACTGAGTTTACTGACGGCTCCAATACGCAGTTGGGTGGCGTGGCGATCTAGAAAAGGAAAGAGGTCACATACCCTCACGCCAAACTGCACAGCCACCCCAAAGAGTGGAATCAGACATGGTTCTATTGCAAAGACACCTCCCCTGCTGGTGAGAATCCCTTGCCTGGTTTTCGTCCGGAGCGGCTCAGCAATACACACCCTTTTCCGCAAAGATAGACTGCCCAGGAGAGAAGCAAATATGCTCCTCAACAGTCGAAGCTCAGAGCCTTTATGGCCAACGGTTTAACAGGGGTTGATCTCGCTCGCTGTTGGATATCATGGAGCATACTGCCCCTTAGTCAGCGCTTCGGTTTGATGTGCGAGTATACCGGCAGTGTTGATGACCCACTGCGACATTCCAAAATCCAGCTCACCGATGAAGAAATCACAGAGGCTGTGAATAAGATGCTGAATGAACCGGAACATATATGTGCTAAAAACGGCCTGCTTCCCTTCTGTGCCACCAACAAACCGCCAGCTGTAAGACCTTGATTTTTCCTTTTGCTGAATCTGTTATTGATATATCTGGTCATTGTTTAATATCAGTGTCTGTGTAATCAGGGCAATGATCCATTTTGGAGCAAGAAATTGCCGCAAGAGAAACCAGAAAAACCAGACAAACCAGAAAGAGCAACCCGGCAAAAGACTAAAGCTGTAAAGAAGACTGCCCACAGGAAAAGAACTACTGCATCTTCTAATCCGGCCCCTGATGATGATGTGGATAATCCGGACCTTGAGGTAGAGCTTGACTCACTTGGCTTATTTTTCATGCGTCTTATTGATGATGATATTTGTCAGGATGATGCCGAAGCCAGCCACGCTGATGCTGCAGAGGTAATTATTCTCTCTTCCGATTCAGAACCTTTGCCTTCGCTAAAAATCCGTCAGGCAAACCGGAAAGTTAAATTTTCTCATCCTCTTGCTTATTTGGATCCCAAATTTCTTATGAAGACCCAACAGCACGAAGCTCGTCGCACAACCCAGCACAGCGGCCAAGTAGTTACCTTCGCTGATTTACCGAACAGTCCGGTTCGGAAACACCGTTCAGAGGTCTCTAATTTGCTTGTCAGTGATTGTCCTCAAGCGGGCTGCTTTCGTCAACCTCTTAATCCATCTGACTCCGATTACCAGGTTACTTCCCACTCATCTTCTGGCGAGTCATCGGCTACTCAGCTGCCACCGCTCAAAATGGTGCTTGGGTAAGCTATACTTATTATGATATTTGTAGCACATCGCCTTAGAACATATGTTGTATTTGATTTTGTTATTATTTTTAGGGCCAAACCTAGGCCAAGCAAGAAGGCTCGCCTGGACAAAGCGGTCAAAGAAGATGTCGTTCTTGAGCCAGGCAAGACACCAGATCTTGAAGCGGCTATTCCTGAGGATATACCCAATGATCCACCGCAGCAAGACGACGATCTTATTGCTGAAGAGAGACCTACTGATGCCTCAGGTCCTGCAAAACCTACTGACAAGCCAACAGCCCCAGTGCAAACCGGCGATACTCAGGAGGATGAGGTTGTCATTACTGGCACTGGCCATACCGAGCCAAGCAATCCTGTTGCTTTGTCCAAACATTCTGCCAAGGAAGAATTTGCTGCCTTTGGTAAAGGCAAGTGGAATGCTGATCTGGCGACTTACGCTGCTCTGAACGCCCAAGATATCCATTCCGGCTACCTGAACCGGCTGTATATCAGCCGTGACTATGAAGCCAGTCTGGTTAATATGATGGAGGATAAATACGAGGTAACTTCCATATGCTCTTTCCTGCTTGTATGCTTCAATACTTGCTGACTCTCCTAGCCCCCAAGGGCCGGTTTGTAATCTTCTTTCAAACCGGGACTTACTAATATAAATCTTAATGCTTTAAAATTCGCCGATGTAGCCCCCAAGGCCGGTTCAACTTAGCGTAGTTAAACCGGTACTTTAAGTAATTGAGATTGCCGCATCGGAATATATATACGAGCAAATAGCCATTAGCCCCCAAGTGCCAAGTTGAATACTTGTATTGATCTTGGGACTTTGTAAGCAATTGAAAGACGAAGATCGAATATGCATTAGCCCCCAAGTGCTAAGTGCATAACTTGTTATGTGGTTGGTACTTCAATCCTTGTACCGTTTTGTTGAAGCATATAACTGTCTGCATGCAGGCGGAGCTGAAAACGAAAGAAAGCCAAGTTGCCGATCTCCAAGAAAACCTGAAAACCCAACAAACTGAAACCTCCAAAGCAAAAGAGGAATTAGCCAACGCTTTAAGCGCCATGGAACAGCTTAAGGAGAGCTTCAAGAAGAAGCGGGCGGATTGGG